GATTTTTAGTACTTCTGATAAGTATTTGTTGATCGATAGATGTATTATAAATACTGTAATTGATTGTTAAAAAATCTAAAGATTTATTGCTATAACTGTTAAAAGATGAAAATTCAGCTAGAGATTTAGAATTATTATTATATTCTTCAGATTGAGGTATATCAATATCAATTCTGTTGGTGTGATAATCCAATGATTACCAATACACCCAACATCTATAACCTTCTTATTAACAATATAAATGGCAAGAACATGACGACATGGTAAATAAAATTGCATGCTATAATTACAGCAACAAGCATACTTTGGTATTAGTTTAGTATATTGTATATTTATGATCTTCATTATGATAAACTTGAAACAAACTAATCTCTTGCTTTTCAACATTATAAGAGGTAGCCAAATTGTATTGTTCTAATAATAAAGAATACACAAAGTCTGAGACAACTCTTGAAACATTTTTTAATAATACAAGACATTGTTGGCAAATACTTCCACATAATCAATATTGTTGATATTGAGAATATTGTAGCTGGTGATAATTTAACTTCTCTAGTACATTAATTAATTTAGGTAAAGGTGCTATATGACCTAATAGAAGTTTTAAATATACATTACTAGATTCTGATTGCTATGTTGTTCGTATTCTATAGTTAATATTTTTATTAGTATAACAACATGTCCACATATGTGCAAAGGGCTTCCACTGTTCTACTATATAATTACTTGCTTCTGAATATTCAACTAGCAAATGATCCTATAAAATATCAAATTGTTTTTCAATATTTTCAAATATTAATGTTTTAAAGTCTTTAATAAATAGGATAAGCTTATCGTTAAGCTTACTATTTAAGTTTTTGATAAGATTTTGCTCAATATGCCAAATGCATAGTTGGTGTTTAATATGTGATGCTTCAGTTCAAACTGCAGAAATAAATGCAAGATCTCTATCAGTTAAAAGTATTCGTATACTATTAAAAGTTGCATCACCCATAATTGCTTTAATTGACGAATTATCTAGCAAAAGCTTGGTGTGGTTTTATTGGCAAGCATTCTACTTGCAACAAAGAATGTAATACCTATTGCGTTAACACCATTGATAAGCAGAAGAGGTATCCCAAAACAGTTTGTTTTATATGTTGAATCTGTTAATAAAACTTCTGGATAATGTTTAAATTTAGCAATTGCAGAATGAGTAGTGAAAAATAATCAATGAAGTTTGCTATTATTAACTGAGTAAGTGAACAAATATTCATTATTATTATTTA